CATTTATTACTAACTGTAGTACAGTGGTCCCAAATCTTTATGGTTTGGCCTGGTGAGGGGGAGAGGGAAACTGAGCTGCAAAAGTGGTTGGCTAGTGTGCATGCAAACTGGTGCTTTGTGCACACCAGCCTGCTGATCATGGAAGTCAAGCTGCACATACACATGTCCCTGTCTACCGCTCATGTGGACCATGGCCTTGGGTTGGGGACCCCTGCTGTAGTATATCCATCAATCCAATATTGTTCAAACTGAAACTAGGTTGGATCTCAAGAGAGATTGAAAGTAGAAGTAAGTAAATTTTCTGACAGTGAGAACAATGAATCAATGGAATAGCTTGCTCCAGGAGTTGTAAGTTCTCCTGCGCTGGAGGTTTTCATACGTAGACTGGACAACCATTTGACCAAGATGCTATAAGGTCTCCTGCCTTGAGCAGGAGGTTGGACTAGAAAACCTCCAAGATCCCTTCCATCCCTTTGATTCTATGTTCTATATTTTATTGCATTTATTGCATTGCATTTATTTATTGATTGCATTTATATGATTGCCCATCTCTCTGCTTAAGACTCTGCGCAGTTTACAAAGTTAAAAAAAAAGAGTGGAAAGGCAATAAAAAATAACCACATAAATTTTGTAAATTCCTGTATTTGAAATAGCCCAACACAGAGTTTATCAAGGCATAGATGATGTAAGTTCAGAAAAGAGAGTTGGTGTATAAAAGAAAATAAATAAAAATGAAAACAGCCTTTTGAAAGTTGAGCATTCAGCCTAATTCAGGAAGTTTCACAAGTTACAGATGATTATTTCTGAAAAAGCATGAAATGCATCAGCTGTGGAAAGTATAACACTGCTATATATCAAAAACATTTCCGAAACCACCAACAGACTATTAAAGCCACACAGCATCACTGTAGCATACAAACCAACTAAAGCCCTCCAAAACATCCTAAGAAAACCAAAAGATCCAGCAGCCCCAGGAAAAAAAAAAACAGGAGTTATCTACAACATATGGTGTATGGACTGTAACAGTGTAGGACAAACAGGCAGAAGACTAACAGAGCACATCCATGAATACTAGCAGTCAAAATACATGATGAAAACTCCTTAATTTCACACTGTATGAAAAGACGTAGTTTCAAATAGGAAACTATGAGCATCCTTGACCAAGCCACGTCCAAAAATTCTAGAGAATTCCTGAAAGCCTGGTACTCAGACAAATCAGCCATCAACAGACATAAATAATATCTACATGCTATTCAAAGAAGCAATCAAAAAGTCAAAAAGGAAACAAAGACCAAAACACCTCCTCACCAGCAATCCACACCCAGATGAGCTGAGTTTAATATCAAAATTAACCCTAGATCAATAGTCTAGAAATAAACAATATCCCAGTCAAAGAACTGCCAACTCACAAAAGCAAGCTAACATTAAACAATAGGAATAATCAGGGATACTCCTACCAACACTGATAGAATAAACAACTAGTATATATAAATAGTTTGGTAATGTAGCATCTGAAGACTCCACATAATCCTTTACTCAAATTTACTATCAATATACTTTAGATTCAGGTCCCTTACCCAAGCTTTTAATAACTTTATATGAATGTTCAGGAGTACATTCAGTACTACTATACATTTGTTAAAGCTATTCAACTGGGCAGAGTCAAATAACTCACTATAACTATGTAACATTAAATGGCAGGCAGTTAGTGATAAGAGCTGTGGTGGCACAGTGGTTAAAATACATTACTGCAGGCTATTTCTGCTGACTTACAGCTGCCAGCAGTTTGGCAGTTCGAGTCTCACCAGGCTCAAGGTTGAGAACCCAGATTGTTGGGGGCAGTTGACTTTGTCAACTGCTTAGAGAGGGCTAGAAAGCACTGTGAAGCGGTACATAAGGCTAAGGGCTAAAGACTAAGGGCTATTAAATATAAGGTGACCAGACATCCCGCTTTTGGCAGGACAGTCACGATTTTTAATAATTTGTCCCGTGTCCCGCAGCGTGTTCAAAAAGTCCCGATTTTTCAAAAGAAAGAAAACAATTTTTAAAAGGACGCCGTTAAAAAATTTTTTTTATTTCTCTGAAGTGTCGTTCCCGATGGGGCCTTTAGAGGGCAGTGGTTTTTATAGCAATAGCAATAGCAATAGCAA